TAGGCTGATCCCAAGTTCACTGGTAGCATAAACTTGTTCAGAGCAAAGCACTGAAGTCTAGAGATTTTAATAATGATATTCACAATGTTTAGGAGACTATACAATTTTACTAAATGTAGAAAGAGTCAGAACAACATGACCCACTCCCTAGCTAAGGATGACTGAACTTAGAGCTTTGCACTTGCTAGGCAAGCACTTTATCATTTGAGCCAAGGCCTGAATCCAAGAGACTATATATTCTAATCAATTTAGGTTTATTCCAGATATTTATATGGAATATTAATATTTAATATCTCATAATATTTAACATCATATACAGTAACATTAAAAATATTTGAAACAAAGCTAATGTAGCTTATTTTATTAAATGAATAAAATAACATTATGATTGTTTCAATATATGCAAAAAAAATTTGACAAAAGTTCAACAGTAGTCAATCATGATTAAAGAAAAAAAACAAAAACCTTTCAAGCTGGGCGCCCAGTGGCTCCGACCTATAATCTTAGCCACTCAGGAGGCTGAGATCTGAGATGGAGGTTTGAAGCCAGCCAGGGTAGGAAAGCTATGAAACTCTAATTAACCACCAACTCCCTGCCTTGAGTCAAAAACTCAAGGTCGGGGGGGGGGGGGGGGGATGGGAAGGGGAAACAAAGGAGGAGGCTACAATGCTTGATAAGAAATGTACTCATTATCTTGCCCATGTAATTGTAACCCCTCTGTACAGTATTTTCACAAAAAAAAAAAAAGCTCAAGGACAGTGTCCAGACCCTGAATTTAAGCCCCCCAGGACCAGCACAAACAAACAAAAATGCTCTGAAAATAAGAGAGAATTTTCTAAAATCATTAAAAAGCATTTCACATCTAGATTCACAGACACATACTCCCATACATGGCTTCACATAGGAGTCTCACTACCTTTTCACCTGACTGGCCTTGAACAATAATCCTCCAGATCTCTTCCTCTCAAGTACTTGGGAGTACAAGTGTGAGTCACTATACCCAGCTAGGATTCCATTTTTATCACTTGGCTTTCACTGATATTCTAGTTATGGAAATAGGCAGAAAAATCAAATAAGGGCATAAAACTGTCCAAACTTCTAGATATGACTGTTTACATAGACAGCCCCCAAGAATCTACAGGTTTCCTGATGGGATTCTGAGATAAAAGAGGGACATAAGATAAAGGCTAAGGAAATCATAATGAGGTATAGACTTTGATGAATGACAATTTATCAACATGGTTTTCTTCATTTTGACAAATGTAGCATTAAAACAAGATAATAATAAAAGAAATTGGGTATGGAAATACCTATACTATCTTTATGATATGTATATAGATATCTACATACACAAAGGTGTTCTAAAATAAAAAGTCTAATTATTTGGCTACAGGCATGACTCAAGTGGTACTCACCTAGCAAGTGTAAAGCTCTGACTTCAATCTCCAATACCTTTGATTCCCCCCCAAAATAAGATTACTTTAAAAAAACAAGTCTAATTATTTTAGAAAGCGCATTAGTGGCAAAATCTGCAGTCAATAGCTAATAATAACGTGTCAATGTTAATCTTAATTTTGACTCTGTATCTCATCAAATGCACCATGAGTATTTAAGATTTTTATTTTAGGAAAGACTGGATGAAAGATATAAAGAAACTTTCTGAGTTATATTTACAAGTTCCTGTAAATCTAAAATATTTGCTTTAACGGGAAAAATATCAGAGCTGACACTCCTCAGAAAATATACAAGTGGCTAATAGGATATGAAAAGTGCTCATCATAGAAAAGACAGTAACCATTCCAATGGCTAAAAGCAAAAATCTGCATATTAAATGAAATGGATACAATATTGAAAGACACAGGCTACCAAAGACAACTTGAATAAGAGCATCAAAGAAACTTAATTTCTAGGTCAAAAACCTTCCCATAGAAACTCCAAGCCTAGACACTTCCTATGATAAATTTCTACCAAATATTTACCAAAAAAAGTTCTACTTCTGTACGTATTTGTACAGAAAATAGAAAAGCAAGAAACATTCCCAATAGTAAATTAGGTGGCCATTACATTGACAACAAAATCAGATCAAAGTGCTGGTAGCTCATGCCTATAATCTTTACTACTCAGGAAGTTGAGATTTAAGGATTGCAATTCTAAGCCAGCCTTGGCAGGAAAGTCCACAAGAGTCTGCTCTCCAGTTAACTACCAAAAACACTGAAGTGAGCTGTGGCTCAAGTGTTAGAACACTAACCTAGAACAAAAAGGTCAGGAACAGTGCTCATGGCCTGCATTTAAGTCCCATAATCAGCATAAATAATAAACTATCAAGTATGCAGAAAAAGAATAATTTATCATGAATTAATCTACTTTCTTTTGAAATGAAAGTGAACTGAAGACCCCCAATGAAAATGACACCTCCAGTATATTTTGTCCCTATTTCTGCTTTCTTTTTCCCTATAGTATTTGTTATCATCAAATATGACATGTGGTTGATATATTTTTCTCTCTACTACACTGTCTTGGGGATCTCTTGATATCATCCTCCTGCTCCCTTCATGCTCCCTTTTTTTCTCCCTCTCCATGTCTCTCTTCCTCCCTCCACATTGGAGAATCCCCAGGGTCTAAACAAGTGTTTGACACATATTTGATACTCAATAAATATTTGCTGAGTTTCAGAATGAATCAGAATAAGAGTTGAAGGAGGAAAGCAATTTTCCCATAATCATGTGACAAATAGTGATTCTTGCTATACTTGTTTACTTTCAGGATATAATGCCATCTACATGTTAATCACTTTAAGATTTACCTGTGATACTAGAAATATTTACTGTTACCTTTTTTTCATTCCCAATCCAAGTTGGTCTAAGGCCAACATACTCTAAGAAATTCCAATATATAAGAACTCAGTTTACATTAAGCCTAATTAAAAATATAGTGAGAAGGTATATTTGATGTTGAAATAAGTCAGATTGCCTTCTAAGACCAATTCTTAATTAGTTCTAACCAATTAATTGTTATGAGAAATTGGGCTTAGACTTGATGACTTGCAAAGATTTGGCATCTTCTCACATTACATCAATGCCCAACATTTTCTTTGGCATTTAACTATGTTTCTCTGAAATTTCTGCTGCCATCATCTTAAGTTTTTACTTCTATGTTTTAGACTTTTGTCAGAAGCCTTTCCTGGCATAATGGTATGTTTTTTCTTCTAGTATACTTTCTTTTTTCTTCTAATATTATGCCTCCCTTCTAGTGAAATACGTTTATTTTTGAGTGATAATGTAAGTTTGCATTTCTAGTTCAGGGGAGGGGGGGGAGAGAAGAAGGAGGAGAGATATTAAGAGATCTCCTAAGAGAGTTTAGAGAGAAAAAATATATTAAATATGTGTCATGTTTGATGATAACAAATACTGTGGAGAAAAATGAAGCAGAAATAGGGACAAAATATCTAAGGGTGTGCTTTTCAGCGGGGTCTTAGGAAACTAGATGATTTCTAAGTTCACTTTCAGTTCAAAATTCCAATGACTTCCTTCTACTCTGACGAGGCAGCCATAAAAATACACAGTGACCTTTTTAAAACTCGTACATTCTAGCACCACACTGTGTGTGTCACCACTTACATTTTAGAAAAACAGGATTAAACATACATTTTTCCATCCTGAGACAAAGCATATGCTGTCACTTAATGAAGCAAGTAATTTCCCAGTCTTGCCTTGGGAGAGGAAAATAAGAAAAATAAAACCTAGCAATTTCTCCCCAGACAAAGGTTCTAAAAATGCAGCATTTATGTGCATTACAGAAAGGGATTAAAATTAGTTGTTTTCCTCCCTTCCAATATATTTATGGCCTGGAATTTGGTCCTTTATTGGTCCTAAGTTACAACAAAGGTGGTTAAACAATGTCTCTGCAATGGGAGGCTTTCTATAGACAAGGGATATGAACAAAAAAATTACTAGCACAGCGGTTGCAGCTTACCACTATATGTATACCTGGTATGTGCCAGGTACAGCATTCACTATTGTACACATGAGGTTGAACAATGAGACATTGCCTTTACAATTTTATACAGTCAACAATTTTATACAGCTTAAGCTAACAGATTAATTTCTAATTCCATGAGAGAAAGAAGCCTGTGTAGATGAGTGGCATTGCTGCTTTTCTATAGTTCTTGTATCCCATTATTATCTTGGGCAAATCTTCAGCCTGCAGAGTAGCTTTTGTTTGAGGATCCGCAGGTCCTTTGCAAAGGTGCTAGCACAAGGGACATCTGGAGGACACTGCCCACCTGTGACACACTTCTGCAGCACAAACTTGATTCAAGTACAACTTCATTGGAAGATGCCATGTAAAAGGAGCATAACCAAAGCACAAATTTCATTGCAAGCTACTCAAAGGCAGGTGGCTCCATCTTCTTAAAAAGCTTAATTTATTAAAAACTATTTATAAAGACAAAACCTTCATTTCAAAACTGTCATTTCCCCAGCCCCCTCCTCAGATATATACAAAGCAACCCAAGATTATCCTAGTCTCTGAAGTCTGTTACTTGGGTTGGATTTTCTGCTTCTTTGGAGATGCTTCACTAAAAGAACACAACTGCCAAAGCAATTCTGTCCAGACAACCTATTATGCTTCAACATACATAATTTTTAAATGCATCTTTAAAAAGTTGATTAGTTCCTATAGTTTATTTTCTTTCTCCTGAAAGCTAGTTTTCATTCTCTGTACAGTTCAGGTTTAGAGTTCACATTTATAAGACCTTAATAAGACGTTCTGTTAATCATCTTCTAAGTAATTACATATAATCTAAAATCTCATCTTACAGAATTAGGCACCCTGTAGACTACATTTTATTTCCAATATTGAAAATATGCCAACAGACATCTCATTATTAAAAAAATAGTATAACTATCTAAAGATTTTTGGGAAGGAATTAATTAAAGGACAATTTGATAACTCTCTTAAGAAATCATGGTATTTAAACAGGTAAACACTTTAAAACCTACCAGTTCATTGCTTGTAGATGTGAGTCTTAGTTTTTCTTCAATTTCCTTTCCAATTTTCTGAACAGTTACCTGAGTCTGTTTAATTGCACACTGGGCTCTATGAAGCCTAGAAATATAAGTTGTAGAAAAATTTAAGTGAGTTCATTATAACTTCTAACCGAACCATAGACATGAATGTTACTTTTCAGGGTAAACAAATACTGAACCCACAATGATTGTTTTTCAATTCATATTTATAATGAAATAGGTACAGCAATTAAATCCTAAAACAGTAATATTAGCTCTGAAACCCCTCTCTGCTTGCCTCTGATATAATGAGAGTTAGATTGCTACGCTGAAGGACTCATAAGAATTTGAGAAAGCCCTTATAAAATAATCAGGTGAACCAAGAGGATTTGTAAAAGACCAGTCATAGAAAATTTTTTAAAAATTGAGACATACTCATACAGTTCAAAGCTACTCAGCCATAAAAAGGGATTTAATGCTAATATACCCAAGAATATAGATAAATCTCAAAAATTTCCTGTTCAGTAAAGAAAACTAGAAGCAAAAAAGCACAAAACTATATGTTTATTATATAAAGTTCAAGATCAAGTAAAACCAACCTATGGTGACAAATGAAGAGTCGCTAGCTGTTTTTGTGGACTGGGGACTAACAGGAATAAGGAGAACAATCCGAGTTGATGAAACATCAGATATCTTGACCAGAGAAAAGGCTATGCCAAATCTCACAGGGTTTACACTATGACCAACCCTATGTAATTTTTTAGCTTAAGAAAACTGGCTATTGACTGTATCCCCGTTGTACATCACCTTTATAATTTTTTAAACATTTATTTATTTATTTTGCTGGTCCTGGGGCTTGAACTCTGGGCCTGGGCACTGCCCCTGAGCTTCTTTGTGTTCAAGACTAATGTTCTAACCCTTGAGCCACAGTACCACTTCTGGCTTTTTTGAGCAGTTTATTGGAGATAAGAATCTCACTGGGACTTTTCTGCCCAGGCTGCAATCCTCAGCCCTCAGCCTCCTGAGCAGCTAGGATTACTGGTGTATACCACCAGCACCCAGCTTAAAACAAAAAATAAAAACAAAAAAAAAACTGGCTACTAATCTTAATTAGAGTGTTAAGATTACACATGTGCATACACACACACACTCATTTAATTAAGGAATTAATGGCATTAGTGCCACTGGCAACATTATTATGGCACAACACACAAAAATTACTCATGATACATTCTGCACATTTGTAAATAGCCTGATAGTTTTTGAGTATTTCTTGGGTAATCTAAAAAGGGATAAACAAGTTGTCATTACAGTTACTTTGCTCATGAAATCCAAAATTCAACAACTTCCTCAGAACATCTAGGGAATCTAATAGAGGAAGTTATACTACTTCTTGCTCTAGGTGTCTATATTTGTTTAATTTCTAGCCACAGTACCACTCTCTTACAAGAGTACCACTAAAGAAATGTTCAAACAAGGGAAGGACCTTTTGTGATATGGTCTCTGCCTCTATCTCAGGCCCACCTCATTTTCTGATACTCCTTATCTTATACCTTCAATTTCATCAGTATAATCTGCTGGCAATTCTACAAACATATCATGCCCTATCTTGTCTCTATGCTTTTGTATGAGTATTACGGCATCTGCCTCCAAGTTCTCCCTGCCCATTAGCAGGTAAGTAAAGTTTTAAACCCTTAAGAGACAACTCAAGCATAAGCTCTTCTTCAAAGGCCTTCCCTGATATAGCAGTAAGCTAGACCCACTCACTCTCCTCACATGCTACATCATGTACAGGACATCATGACAAGTCATGTTCAAGAACCACATCTTACAGCAGCTGTCTACTTCCTTGTCTATCACTTTAGTAGGTCTTTGTGGGAGAGAGGGGGACTCATTTTCTCATATGTATCATGAATGTATCATATAATGCTGCACAAAAGAAGCACTGAAAATAGATTTACTGACTGTCTAAAGGTTCATATATAAAAATCATGGTCCCAGAGTTAGATATTTTGATTGATACATTAGAGTAATTTAAAGGTCAATATGATGCCTACATTTCTAACTTCAAAATATTATGTCAAAAAAAATCATAAGGGCTGGAAAGGTGACTCAGTGGTAGAGCGCTTGCCTTGCATGAGGCCCTGGGTTCAATTTCTTGGCACCACATAAGCAGGGGGAAAAAAAAAAGCTGGAAGTGGCGCTGTGGCAGAGCGCTAGCCTTGAGTTGAAGAGCTTAGGGACAGCACCCAGGCCAAGAGTTCAGGCCCCATGACCGGACAAAAAAAAAAAATCATAAGGTAAAGACCATACATTCAGGACCCTGCCTGAATGATCAATTTTTACTAAACCTGATAGGTATTATAGACTTAGAGAGGAAATCAACAACAACAACAAAAAGTTCTGTTACTTTAAAAGGGAGAAAGCACTGCAAAAAACTTCACTGGTACTATGCAAACAACCTTGTCAAATGGTGAAGACTTTAAAAATAAAAATGATTCATGACCATAATTAATGTATGACTTCAACTATTTGGCTCTCACTGCCCCAGACGCTTTCTGATCTTACCTTAGGGGCTTAAAACATACAGACAGAGTCACATTTCCTCCAATCTTCAGTGTTATCCAAATAGACTTTCAGAGCCCCTGCTACATCAAGACAGAGCTAATAATGTCCCCCTTACAAATCCAACCAGAGAATAAAAGTTTGAAGTGCTAGGTGTTTCAAATAATGTGGGCCATCCCAATTCTCCTGGGAGTGAAGAAGTGAAGGACTGACAAGAAAAGAAACAACTGCTCTACTTCCAAACTGCCTGGTTAGTTTCAGAGTAATGTTTCTTAATTTCACAAACTGTGATGAGAACTATAAGGAGCTCTTTCTGTATACAGGAAGCACTATATACCATCTAGTCCTCTGGTGACTGTTCAACACCAGTATTTATACTCCCCACTGAAAGAAAACATCACCAGTGCTAAGAGGAGAAATCAAGTTGCTATCTAATAGACTCTGAGATAGTAATAAATAGAAAATGGCTTTAAAAGGGCTATTATTGTGAACATAAGTACAAATAAGGTCAAAGGTATTATATCAAATAAATGTTTATAAAAGATTGAGACCATGACAATGAGATATAAGCCATAATCTCAGTGAAGAAATTATATGAAAATTTTCCATCTTAATGTTAATCCAACTGAATCCTACAGGCAAATTTAAAGATGTACAATCACAAATCAGAACACTTCTAGAAAGTCAGTATAGGGGCTGGGAAGGTGGCTCAGTGATAGAGTGCTTGCCTTGCATGCCTGAGGCCCTGGGTTTGATTCCTCAGCCCCACATAAGCAAAAAGAAAAAAGCCAGAAGTGGCGCTGTGACTCAAGTGGTAGAGTGCTAGCCTTGAGCTGAAGAGCTGAGGGACAGCCCCCAGGCCCAGAATTCAGGCCCCACGACAAAAAAAAAGAAAGTCAGTATAGTTCCCTATGGCTTGCAAAATGGAGAAGTAAATGCAGGAAGAATAGAAGTCTATTGAGAACAAATGGATAACTTATCATTAAGGGATTTGTACACCATATGAAGGAGCTCAGATTTTTATTCTGAAGGCATTAAGAAACCAATAAAGTGATAAACTGGAGGGCTGAGGACAGAGTTTAAGTGGTAGAATGCTTGCCTAGCATGTATAAGGCCCTGGATGCTTAAAAAGGAGAAAGGGAGGGAAGTTAGAAGGGAGGGAGGCAAAAAGGGAGAAAGGGGAAGAGATAGAGGTAGGGAGAGAGAGACAGGAGAGACTCAGAGACACAGATTTAAACTGAAAATTTTTTAACTACACGTTTATATTTTAGAAAGCTACCAGAGGAACTATTGGGGACTGAGAGGAGGGATAGGGAGTGATTAGAGGGTAAGAGAGGGAAGATGGGAGTGCAGATACAAATGCTGAAATGCACTGATTTATATAATTAACACACAATAATAATTATAATAAAAAGAAAACTCTTCTTATAATAAGGTGAATGGGACACAGAAAAAAAGGACTACCAACAAGGCTGGCATGAAATTATTCCAACAATAGAGCAACAAAAGGCACTGTCTGAAATAAAAATGGTGACAGAAAAGATGGTATAAACGTGAAAAGTAAGAGAGAGGAGAGATGAAAATGTGAAAAGTGAGAGAGAGGAGAGATAAAGACGCGTGAAATAAATTGGTAACTGCTATCATTTGAATATGGTTTACACGATTAAAGGCAAGGTCTTCAGGGTGCTGGTGCCAGTAGATGATAGAACCTTTAAAACATGGGGCCTGGTAGGAAGACATGGAGTGACTGGAGGTGTGCTCTCAAATGGTAAATCTCATGAAATCCCTTAGGTTTTTGAGATAGAGCTGTTACAAAAGGAGTAAGCCTGTCCCACTTAAGCTGTCCCTGCTCCTAACTTAAGATATGATTCTTAATGCACTCATTACCTGACTTATGAAACTATAATTCTTCCATAAAGCACCTTTATAATAACAATTTTAGAAAGAAAAAAAACGTGATTCCTTTTCTCACACATACTCCACCATCTGCCCACTATGGGCCTGTGTCAGAACCTGCACTGTGCTGGAGGTGTGAGCTAAACAAACCTCTCCACTTGATAAAGTATTGGGTACTGCATTAGTAATGAAAAGCTAAAACAGCAACACTGACATGAAAGAGAAGACATCATTACAGATACTTAAAGGAAATTAAGTGGAAATCATGAACAACTTTGCACCAGTTTAAGACAGGCTAGCCTAGGGAAGAGTCAGTAAGATCCTATCATCAAAGCTAAGCTGGGTATGATAGTGCATGTTTGTAATCCTATCTACTTGGGAAGAATAGGTAGTAAGGTCATAGTCACAGAACTGGGAAAAAAGCAAAAAGTGCTAAATGTGGCTCAAGTGGCAGAGCACCTACCTTTGAGCAAGCATGAGGACATGAGTTAACTTGAATATCACCCCCCCCCAAAAAAAATCAGGACACTATATATCAAAGCCAACTTACATAACGATTAGCAATTACAATGCCTACAGTGTTGACAAAAAGTAGAGCAACTCCAATTTTTACATATTCCTATAAAACTGTAATTTAGA